ACTCTGTGAAAGAAAAATCTACACGGTAGTTTCACAAGTTAAATTTTGTTTGGAGAAATAGTAAGTTCAAAGTGTGATCTCCTAGATACAGTATTTGAAAAGGCTCTGGCTTTATTTTAGCCTTTAGTATGTACTATGTTCAGAAGAATTCTAGCCTGTGAATAAAAGAAGAGAGCAAATCCTTTATGGTAGGAGATGAAGAAGTATTGTGGAAAAAGATAAATTGTGTGGTTAATCCTTTTCCAACCTTTTAAGGAATATACATCCCCACCCCTCATCCTAGCAGCTAGCAGATAACCTGTGCATTCCATTTTGAAAACATCACACATTGGACAAAAATGACTGAAGATTGGCTAACTCCCTGCCCAAGGCACATGGTATGTAGCATTAACTCAGCCTGTTTTAATTTTATAAATCTGTGTGGAAAAAAAGACAAAAATTCTTCTGACAATGAAGGTCCCACTTTCAAAGAGCCAGCAGAGGAAAGTGCAGAGAAAGAAATGTGATACCTGTCAAGGGTCTTCCCCGACCTGAGTCAGTGTTAGGTCCCAGGTCCTGTGCCTGTCAACTGTCCACCAAACAAAGGAAATCTGAACAGAAATTCAGAGCCAGCCGAATGGAATGCAAAAGGCTGAGAGGCATTACGTACTTAATGTGGAAGCCCTGACAGGAGGAGTCTGGAGTATGAATGGAGGAAAGAGAAAAACTAGATTTTGAAAGGACAGTATGAGTGGGTTAGCTGTAACGTGGCTGGGCATAGAGTTGTCAGCCCCTAAAGAGTATGCGGGACAGGAGAGTTCACCAGGAAGGCTCATGGGCAGAAGTCAATAAATGTGACAGCTCTGAAAATGTAGCACATTCCTAGAGATGCCAGGAGGGCACGCTAGAACCCGTCCTAGAGACCCCAGTCCAAGGAAGTGGCAGCGGTCAAGTTCAAAAGTAGATCTGCCTCTAATTCAGTATACCATTGTGCATGCCCTTTGTCAAATAAAGCACCATCTCGGCTTTACCCAAGCAGGGTGGGGGGCCCAATCATTCATTATCTAGCACAGGTGACTTGTGTACCACTGAGAGCACTGGCTGTGCAATCATGCACCCTGACATTTATTTATTTTGTGATCTTGGGGAAATCATGTAATTTTTCTGAATTCTCTTCATTATTAAAAAAAGATGCAGAGGGTTTTTTTTTTTTTTTTTTTTTGCAGTTTTTGGCTTGCGCTGGGTTTGAACCCACCACCTCCAGCATATGGGGCTAGCGCCCTACTCCTTTGAGCCACAGGTGCTGCCCAGATGCAGAGGTTTTGTATGACTTAGAAAATAATTGTAAAACATGTACTTTACTGCTATGTCTCAAAAATAACAATCTCTTCCACAATTAATCAGAGATCATTATATGCTCTGAGAAACTATATTTCTAGCCAGCACCTCTTCTAGTGCCTGCTATAGCATTGACAATGGTCTGAGCATGTTTTTTCAGATGCTCCTGAGCCTGGGGATTGTGCCCCACAAGTGAAGTGTCACATACAGAGGCAAGAGGCAGGTGGGGAGAAAGAGCCTCTCTGAAATCGAATATGTGAGACAGTTTGAGGAGACCAAACCAGGCAGAAGGGGACAAAGCGGGCCTCAGATGAAGTGTATTTCTGAATTTTCACCATCCTCTAAGTAGGAGTATTTGTTCTGGGTAAAATTACAGCTGTTATCTAGGTAGGATGGTCAAATTTCCCATTTGAAGAAAGATATAAGTAGAACCCCATTTCTCTCACACCATTGTAATTCTAAGGAAATTTAGAAAAAGCCTAGGCCTATTTGGCATCTTAAAGAAATCTTTTTCATGATCCCTTTGTTGTAGCCGAATGAAACATTGGTTGGTTTCCACAGGGGATTTGCTAAGAGGCATTTGAAAGGTTACTCTTCTTGCCCAAGTGTTCCTGTTATAAAGGAAATGAGAACTGTGGCTTTCAAACCTAGGCACAGGACAGGTTAAATAGTGAAAAGGTGTTGGGTAAAAACCAAGCAAGCTTTGTGACGTGCATTCTGAGGTAGGTAGTGTCAACAAAGGGATGAGAGGGTAGACTCAACCTAGGTAAGGCAGGAAGAGAGGACGCAGAGAAAGGCTGCTGTTTACACAGCATTCACTGGCCACAGGGCAACATCTGTTATGAGAAGTGGACATTACTGACTGGAGGGCATAAGGTCAAGGAGGGGTTAAGAGGAGTCTATCAGAACTTTTAGGATATCATTTATCATTTAATGAGTCTCTTGTCACAAATTAATGACATTCATTTGTTACCTTCTTCAACAATGTTTTATTAAACCTCTGCTCTCTACCAAGCACAGAGGTTCTAGGTATATTGTGAGCATTAAGTCTGACCTCATACAAAATTTATTATCTAGAACAGGAGTTGGCAAACTACAGCCTGCAGAGCAAATTCTGCTTACAGCCCATTTATATAAAAAAAGTTGTATTGCAATACAGCTACACTCACATACTTATTTATGGACTATAGCTGTTTTAACGATACATCTAAATTGACTAGTTGCAACAGAGAATACATGCAACAATTCTGCAAATTTTTATGCTCTGACTTTATGCTACCCCCTCATCTAGTAGGAACCTACACTAAGGATAATGCATTAAATTTCTGGTGTACAGTTTGTCAGTCAATCATCTACCAGCCCAAACCTAGAGACAATGCTAACTCAAAATCAATACATAAATAGCAATAGCCTGGTAAGCCCTACTGGCTACCTACCCCGAGAAATTGCCCAAGTCACTTAAAAGAAGGATAAACCAGACCTGTGGGAAACCTTGATTGAATCAGCTATCCGTTCTAGGATATGAATACATATGACAACACTTGCCATGATAGTTTTGTCTTTCTAATTTCAAGAAAAATATTCATTCTTAAAAATCAATTACACTTGCCACTAGTATGATCTAATTTATTTTGAATGATAATATGAATAATAATAAAAATTAATTTCATTTTGTGTTGCAGAATTTTATTTGTAGGTTGGTGCAAAAGTAACTGTGGTTTTGGACCATGAATTTTAAACCATTATAACTAGGCTCAAACACCCCTTTATTAATCAAAAAGGCACCATTGCAATCAACGTATTGTTGCCAATGAGAAATAAGTTGTTTCTTCCTGTAATGTAAAAATCCACACTTTGAGATTCCCATGAACTCTTGGAAAGCATTTTCTGCATCCTGCTGGTTGTGAAAGTGTTTTTCCTACAAAAAGTTGTCAACATGCTTGAAGAAGTGGTAGTTGCTTGGCAAGAGGCTGGAGGTGGGTAAGGCAAAACATCATAGGCCAATTCATTCAACTTTTAAACTGTTGATTGTGCAACTTGCAGTCACTTGTTTTCATAGAGAAGAACTGGGCACCTTCTTTTGACCAATGCCTGCGCAGGTGTTGCAGTTTTTGGTGCATCTCATCTATTTGCCAAGCATGCTTCTCAGATATGATGGTTTCCCCAGGATTCAAAAAGCTATAGAGGATCAGACCCCCCACAAACCAACAAACAGTGACCATAACCTTTTTGGGGTGCAAATTTAGCTTTGGGGAATGCTTTGGAGGTTCCTGTCAGTCCAATCACTGAGCGGGTCATCACTGTTTGTAATATGAAATCTACTTTTCGTCACATGTCACAATCCAATTGAAATGGCTTGTTATTGTTGTATAAATAAGAGAAGAAAATGAGGTGGCAACAGTGGCTCAGTGGGTAGGGCACCGGCCCCATATACCAAGGGTGGTGGGTTAGAACTTGGCCCCAGCCAAACTGCAACAACAACAACAACAAAAATAGTTGGGCATTGTGATGGGCACCTGTAGTCCCAGTTACTCGGGAGGCTGAGGCAAGGGAATCACGTAAGCCCAGGAGTTGGAGGATGCTGTGACCTATGATACCATGGCACATAGAGTGAGACTCTGACTCTAAAAAAAAAAAAAAAAAAGAGAGAGAGAGAGAAGAAAACACTTGAAAATGACCATTCCTCTGATTTTTGGCAAGCTCATGAGGCACCCACTTATAGAGCTTTTTTGCCTTTCCTGCTTCAAATGCCAAACAACTGTAGAATGCTCAATGTTGAGTTCTTCAGTTTCTCTTGTAGTTGCTCTCAACTGCTCTTTGTCAATTTCGGATGGCTGGCACTATGCTCCTCATCTTCAAGGTCCTAATCTAGTTGCAAAACTTCTTTAACCACCACTGCACAGTAGATAAGTTCATTAGCAGTTCCTGGGCCAAATATGTTGTTGAGGTTCTGAGTTGTCAGAATGGGTCTGCTGCTTTACGACCCAATTTAAATTCAAATAAGAAAGTCACTCAAATTTCCTTTTTGTTTAACATCATTTCCATAGTACAAATTACAAAATAAACAGCAAGTGATAAGTCATTAGCAAAAACCATAAAGTAATAAATGCACATTTAAATAATGTATAATATAACCAATTTAAGAATATATTCCAATATCAAATGGCAAATTTCTTTTTTTTTGAGACCGAGCCTCAAGCTGTCCCCCTGGGTAGAGTGCCATGGCATCACAGCTCATAGCAACCTCCAACTCCCAGGCTCAAGTGAGTCTCCTGCCTCAGCCTCCCAAGTAGCTGGGACTACAGGCGCCCACCACAACGCCCAGCCATTTTTTAGTTGCAGCCATCATTGTTGTTTGGCGGGCCCGAGCTGGGGATTCGAACCCACCACCTTAGGTGTATGTGGCTGGTGCCTTAGCCGCTTGAGCCACAGGCGCCAAGCCTCAAATGGCAAATTTCAACACTGCAAACACCACAATTACTTCGCACCAACTTAAATATTAAAACAGTTGAAGTTATCCCAGTTTATCTTTAAACCCAATTGTCCTATTACCTAATTGCCCCACTTAAAAGACTTAGTAATTAACTATTTTCTCATTTAAAAGACTTATAAATAATGGTACTTGCTTTGATTGTTGTCACCTGCAGAGAGTGGATTACCTTCCCAATGGAGAACACATTAGTCACCCTATGGCGTTGCCTTCAGGGAACAGCTCTTCTCATCCTGTGTCCTTCATCCTGCTTGGAATCCCAGGACTGGAGACTATCCAATTCTGGATTGCCTTTCCATTCTGTGCCACGTACATTGTGGCTGTGCTTGGGAATATCACTCTCCTTCACATAATCCGAATTGACCACACCCTGCACGAGCCCATGTACCTCTTTCTGGCTATGCTGGCCATCACTGATCTGGTCCTCTCCTCCTCCACCCAGCCTAAGATGTTGGCCATATTCTGGCTCCACGCCCATGAGATTGAATATCATGCCTGCCTCATCCAGGTGTTCTTCATCCACACCTTTTCTTCAGTGGAGTCTGGGGTGCTCATGGCAATGGCCTTGGACCGCTACGTGGCTATCTGCTTCCCACTCCAGCACTCTAGCATCCTGACCCCATCAGTAGTGATCAAACTGGGGGCCATTGTGCTAATGAGAGGGATTCTCTGGGTGAGCCCCTTTTGCTTCATGGTTTCCAGGATGCCCTTTTGCCCTAGCCGGGTCATTCCCCAGTCGTACTGTGAGCATATGGCTGTGCTAAAGTTGGTGTGTGCTGATACTAGAGTCAGTCGTGGGTACGGGCTCTTTGTGGCCTTCTCTGTAGTTGGCTTTGACGTGATTGTCATCAGTGTGTCATATGTGATGATTCTGAGAGCTGTGCTGAGGTTGCCCTCAGGTGAAGCTCGCCTCAAGGCTTTTGGCACGTGTGCCTCTCATATCTGTGTTATCTTGGCTTTCTATATCCCAGCCCTTTTTTCCTTTCTCACCCACCGTTTTGGCCATCATGTGCCCCACATGGTGCACATCTTGTTTGCTAATCTCTACCTCCTGGTGCCTCCCATGCTCAACCCCATCATCTATGGGGGTAGAACCAAACAGATCAGGGACAGAATAGTTCAAGGATATTGTGGAAAAGACCTCTGATACAAGTGTCACAACATCACTATCAGTGCTATTGTCCCACTAGTCTGGGATGTAAATGAAACAAGTTTGACAAACCTTTACATTGTCACCACAAAACCAACTTTGTAAGCCCCAGAGGTCAACAACCCTCCAAAAGCAAGAGGAATAATTTTCAGAAAAATATTTCTTCACACAATGTGATGCATAATACTCTGACAAATGTTTCTCCTCACAATGGATACTAGCAACTTAGTTGACCTATGTACTTCATCAGAAGTAGATAAATAAATAAATAAATAAATAAATAAATATTTTCACTTCTTAGATTAGTAAATATGTTTAAAGAATGCCATCTACAGAAAATTAGGATTAAAAATATTATTTTTACACTCTTGGTAGTCATATAAGTTGGTACAGTTTCTTTGAAAAGAATTCAGAAATTTGGATCAAATAGTTAAGTACATATGTATTTCCCACCTGGGAATCTCTTTATACAAATAGAGTTTTAGAAACAAAATATTTACAAAAACATACATAAAATCATGTCTGATTAAAGAAAATAGAAAACCATTCAAATATTGTTCTGTAAGAAACCAGATGAAGCAATGAGCACTAATATGTTGGGTGTCATTTAACTGTGGTATTTGCAAAAAGTATCTGAGGATGTGTAGAATGATCATGATATAATATTTTTAAAAAAGCAAAGACAAAAAATTGCCCATAAGGCTTTATGTCAAATATTTTTGTTTTTTAATTTCAGATTGATACAAGGGTATAAATGTTTAGGTTACATTGTTTTCATTTATAAGGTAAAGTTCAAATTGTGTTTGAGGCCTTCACCCAGGGGTGTGCTGAACACCCTCAAATCCAGTACATTAGGTGAAATCCCACCAATCCCCCTTCCCCTCTCCCTTCTCTTCTATCCCTCTCCCTAGTCTATACTTGTATTTTTCTTTCCTGTGGGCTCATAGTTGTTTGTATATTGATTTTATATTAGTATTGAGTACATTGGATACTTGCTTTTCCATTTTTGTGATACTTTGCTGAGAAGAATGTGTTTCATCCAGGCAAACACAAAGCATGTAAAGTCTTCATATTTTCTTATGGCTAAATACTCCATGGTATATGTATACCACTGTTTGTTAATCCATTCATGAGTTGATAGGCACTTGGATTGAATCTATATCTTAGCAATTGTAAATTAAGCTATTATGCCAAATCTTAAAAGAAATACATGTGTGTAGGAAAAGATTCAAGAATAGATTCAAGTATTAATAATAGCTGCTCAAAGTAGTAAGATTTGTGGCATTTTTTTTAGTTTTCTTTTACATCTTATGATATTTTTAAGTTTCCATTTATTTTATTATGTTTTTGTGAACACAAAAATTTTATATATTTAAGGGAAATAGTTTTATTTTTACATACAAGTATGCATTATGTAAATTTCATATCAGAGTATTTAGCATATCTATAACAACATAGCATTTCAGGTCCATATTGCCTCATTCCTCCAGAACTGAATACAATACCACACCTCTTAGTCTTTATAACTTCTTTCATTATTTCTATAGATTTAAATTTTTGAAGGATATTATCAAAGAAGATAATTTATTATGCTAATAGCAAATTGTCTTTCACCTCTTTTTATAAAAATTAAAATATTTTGAATGTTTAGAATTTCTATTTAAGCAATATGTAACATATAAGAAATTACTCTTCATTCAGCATTCTGCTAAAGGATGGGGATGGAACAGGGCCTAGAAACTGACAAGCAGAGCATCTAATTTGCATTATTCCCACCCAGAACTAAAACACTGAATACCTTTAATTCCAGCCCCAGTTTAGAAAATAATTACTTAAAATTTATAGCTCTATCATAATTGTAAGTAAACTTAAGTATTCTGAACCAATAAAAATACACAATGAACTTCATTAAAACCTGAGGAATCCTTGTGTACATAAAATATGTGACAAAATCCTATTATGTCTATGGTCATTTACAGAAGCCATCAAGTGAGCACTTTGAGTGAGGGACTTGATTTCCCATTTGTAGATTGGCAGAGTCATCACAGTGCCTGTCTTCACTCAAGTAACACGAACCTGTAATCACATAGACTAAAAGAGGCCAGACAGAATCTTAGCAAAGTCAGCCCTGATTAGTTATCTTCTTGTGGTTTTTAAATATTACTTGGAAGCCAAGCTATAATCTCAGGGTTCAGCTCTAAAGTATTTTCAAAAGGGAAATACTTCATCAGCATTATCTACTCTGCACAGGGCCCAACACAGCACAGTGTTTTTAGTATGCTGAAAATTCATACTCAAATCAACAGCATTTTTTGATCAATTAATATGTACCCAGTGCACTGCCTGGTGCCTGGGATATAGAGATTAAAGTCCACACTACTTCTGTTGTATCCAGCCCCAGGATTCCACAGCACCTGATTCATTCTGCTGTCAACATGCCCACTCAATCCTCTGTACCCCTTGACCTGGCTCTGTGTCTGCACTTATGTTTTAACCTCCAGGAAGAGGAGGTTAGTAAACTCATATTTTAGCAAATCTTCACACAGAGCAGCCATCAATAAGTATGAGTAAACCAGTATTTGTCCATTCAAAGAAGATTAGAGGGATGTCAATGAGGAGCTGAGACATATACCTTCAATACCCCATATGTTGAGTATTATGATCATTTCTGCTGTCTGGAAAGACTCATGGTTTGAACCTTTCTGGAGTATGATGAGACTGAAAGTTGTAGGCATGTGACATGGCATAATTTAATGTTCACTCTTAGTCTGCTAACCCTGAAGTCACAGGCTAATTCTGTGCTGTCCTCTGGAGCCAAGATTTCTGAGGCCAGAGGGAAAGGAAAGAAAAGCCCATGAGATGTGACACCTGACTTTGCAGAGCACAGCCCTTCCTTGGTCCTTCCGTTCACCCCCATGCCTGAGACATATGGAGCTGGGCTCTCAGCCTTGGGTTTCCATTTCTCGATATGTCAATCACAACTATGAACCATCATGGAAGAGATTTGGAATACTTTAGTTTTTCAAAGTCTTTCAGATGCCAACCTTAATATTTCCTTCAGGTATTTGCAATACTACATTTAGGTATGCATAAGCAAATGGGATCGACACTGACACTTTGTAGATGACAAAACAGAATGTAAATAATGCCCTCAAGTTTCTTTCTGGAACAGAAAGTAGAATGGTGTCAGATTGTAGGGGAAAAATAAACAAATCACCCAAAATCAGAACTCGAAAATAAATTTTTTTCCTAAAAATACAGAAATCTTAGAGAAACTTATAAATAAAATTCTGTGTATTATGCAATTCACATAAGAAATTCACACTTTAATCCACACTAATGATCCCCTTAAAGTTGTGCAAATCTGTGCCTTAGGGAACAATTGAAACATAAATTGCACCTCTGCCAGTTTCTGTTCTGGGATGTGCCAGCTTCATGGAAACCTCATGTTTTGAACATAGGATCCAGGTCTGTAGGAAGGGGATAGGTACAATAAACATTTTCCTATATCTCCATGTTTTAATTGGCTTCCTAACAAAGTAGAAAGGACCCAGTGGGTGTTTAAATGAGATTTGCAGTAGCAGTTTTCTTACCATTAGAGACAGCCATAACAATGCATGGTCGCTGCAACAGGCAGGTGTAGGCAAGGTGCAAAGAAGGGAAGATCTGTTGAGGGGATAGTAAATGCTGCTCTGGAACAGGAGTAAAGAAGTCTGACGTGTGGTAATCTGGTCTCTGGAAGTATTTTGATGGTGGCTTGAATTGCCAACAACTCTTTTTGAGACTAGCTTTATTAAATTCACACAGTAGACATTCATTTGCTCTTTTATTTATTTAGTAGCTGTGATGAACAACCATTTTTTTCATTGTTTCTCAACTAATTGTGACTTGTCTTTGAGAGCAGACATGCTTGCTGCTCCACGCCCAACACGTAGCAGGCTGGAAGAGGATAAGTGTATAAATAAGACCAGTTCAGTTGTTAACTTAACAAATAGATGAGTGGTGAATACTGTGTTCTAAGATTCCAAATAGGAGTTAAAGGTGAATGAGTCACTGTACGGATTCCCTCGGATCTCTCACCTTCACACAGCAAGCAAGCACATGAGTCTGAATTGCAGCCGGGGTTCGTGGACTCCATGGCAATGGCAACGCTTCCAGCAGCACCTCCTGCAGACACTAGCCTTGAAGCATCATCCCTTTGCCCAGGGTTCCCAGACATCAGGCCTAAGATAGCTCTGAGTGTTACAAAGGAGGAAAAAGAGCACTACAAAGTCAGGAGACCTGAGTTCTATCTAGTCCCCTCTCAGGCTTTTCCTCAGGGTATGATTTGGAGAAGTTTCTACCCTTCCCTGCCCCTAGCAATTTTGTCTCCATGTCCTCGCCTCTCAGAATCAATCAGTAATCCCTGATCAGACCTGCCTACTTCCCAACACAAAGAACATATTTATGTATACACAAGGAAGTGTATATATTTATGATGTGGAGACATGGGGACAGAGATTTATTGATAAGTGGCCAAAAACACCCAAAATGCACCCACATAAGGCATGAAGAGACATAGTCTAACATTGAACCCAGATCTTACAATCTAGTCAATAGAGACAGATTTGGGGGAAAAAAATAGAAATTTAATACATGTGGTCCAAATAAGACAATGACTCCATGAAAATAGGATAAAAAAATAAAGGTAATTCTGTCTGAACAGCAATAAGGAAAAGATGATTATTATGTATCTTAAATAGAGTAGTTTTAGTTCATCAGAGGGATAAAAATGGGGGAAACTTCAAAGCAATGGTATCAGCCTTTATAAAGGCAATGAACCCTAAGAGATCTAGACGAAACAGCTAACTGGTCACTAAGAAAGATGCTGCTGCAAAGAAGAATCCAGAATATCTTTCCAGGGAGTTTACATTTTAGCCTACAAGACATACAGATCTCTCACCTTGTATTTTTAATCAAGGGATTTGGGGAAAATTCAAAGCAGGGACTTATCCTGT